GGAGGAAAGTACATTTTCTCACCTCTTCTCTGGTAGGCCAGATAATTTTAAGATCGATCAAAATCATTTTTATTATGCACCCTCTCGTTTTCCCTCGGTAGTGTGTGTTTTTAAGCCAAAAAAAAATTTTAAGGCTTTTTTCTCCAAAAAATTGATTTATAGTAGACATTTTACAATGAAAAACAGACATAACTGCTATTTGTTTAGAGATAGGTAGTATGTTTTGGTAACTCAGTAGCAGCAGAGTAAGGCTCCGAAGATTATCAAGAAAATTTCAAATCTTAGAACTTGGAAGGAAATAATCTAGTATAATTCATTATTTTATATTTGAAGAAACTGAGGCACAGAGGCATTAAGTTACTTACCCAAGATCATCCACCTAGTTAGGGTTTGTCTTATAGATGCTAAGCTGAATAATTGTTTCCTTCCACTCCAGAAGCTAAGTCCCAACCACCCGCTATAGAGATGCATAATTCACTGGACTGCCCCTTGCTGAACCTCTGGCAAAGCAAGCTGGTGTTATTCCAAGTCCCTTGGAAATGAATCAAAATCCTCACAACAGCTGGACTTGGTTTGATACCCTTTGGTGATGGTGATCAAAGTTCCTCACCAATGCTAATTAGCAAATCACTGAGACTGTGCAGACACTAATGAGCAAATATCTCCCTTTGGCTGTGAGAGCAGTCTGGATTGAGTTTAGGGCCCAGACTAATAACATGATTTTTATGAATGTATCTAGTTGCCTCACCTTCTCCACTGGCAGAATGGAGAAATGTATAGGCCACATAGTCAGATTGTGGCAATTATAGTGTATGGAAATCTGTTTTGAACATCACCATTTCATTATTAATTTCTTGCTGGCCTCTTAATGTTGTGTGGTCTAAAGATACTAAGGGAGTTTGACTTTACTGTGGGTTACTTGACGTATCTGTAGTTGTGGTAGTTGTGATAGGAGGAGGAGTAGCTGTAACAGAAGCCTTGGAATTGGTGTTAGTAGTTAATTAACCTTTATATACTATTTTAAGGTTTGCAAAGTACTTTGCGTTTATTATCTCATTTGACCCCCACAACCGTTTTGTGAAGTAGGTATTATTATGATCCCTGTTTTACTGATGGGAATATCAAGATATGAAGTCAGGCGGGTTAGTAGCACATTCTCTATCTAGTGTACTAAAATCATACTATAAAACAATGGTGGGTTGATTCAAAGTTTGTTTCTTCTTCTCCAGGAGGGACAGAGCATCTGGAGGAGTAGATCTTGGCAAGCAGGGGAGGAAGAGCTAGAGGTTAAGATGATTAAACTGCATTACTCCCAAAGCTCAAAGAGAGGAGAAGAATAGCAATGTTCCTCCAGGCTTCCAGGCTCATAGCTGCCTATTTACCTGCCCATTTTTCAAAGGTCTGTTGATTGTAAGCAAGTGCAGAATGAGAACAGGATGAATCTATGATTTGGAATCACTTAAGAAATGTTTCCTTCTTTTCAAGATGAAAACCATTTTGCTATTCTAATTAAATGGAGGTATTTTCTTTAAATGATTTTATCTGTATTTGTTTGAATCTCACAAAACATGTCTGAGATGATGTTTCTGATTTAGAAGGCCACAAGGGTAGGGGCCATGTCTGTTTAAATTATTTGGAGAACCAAAAAGAGTGATGGACGTATGATACCTATGCCTATACATATGTACATACGCATACAAACAAACATGTATGTGTATACACACACATACAACACAGCTTTATGTTTAAAATTGCATTAAGACTTTTGGGGTACCCTCTGTGGTGTGTGTGTGTGTGTGCATATGTATGTATCCACATGTATATTTATTTTTTATTTTAATACTTACATTTCTGTAATAAGGGGCACTTGATATCCTGCCTCTATCAGTATTCAGGCCTAAACTCCATTTTCCATAGAGAACTGTTTCTGTTGGTTTCCTTTAATTTATCTAACTCTCAGTTTCCCATTTCCCATCTGGAAATACCAGATGCTCCCCAGTCCTACTGAGGTATTATGAAAATGGCAATAGGAATGAGAGCTAACATTTTATATAGAATTTTTAGGTTTGCAAAACATTTTAAATACTTTATTTGATTTGATCCTCCCAACAACCTTGTGAGATGGATGCCATTTTTATGGTTTTTTACAAATGGGGAAACTGAGACTCAGAAAGCATAAATGACATGGTTAGGGTTACACAGCTAGGAAATGTCAAGGGCAAGATTTGAACCTGGGCCTCCTTATTCCAAATCCAATCTCCTTTCAATTTTAGTGCATATTCATCGCATTGTGCTATGGGCTTCTCTGAGGAATTCTCTGTCTTTTAATTTTGATCGCTACTCTTTTATTTGCTGGAGGTTGGTTGGGAAAGCACTCTACCTTCCCATAACTATCCAAGAGTTTGTTTAAAACAATTTTTCTTGTTTATTTTGCATTATCACTGAGGGTGAATGTCTTTTAAAGTTTTATCAGAGTATCCTTGTTGTTTGATTAGCCCACATGGAGAAATGGATGGTATGTTGTTAGATCCTTGACTTACAAATAAACAAAGTGAGGCACAGAATCTGTGACACTGCCAAGGTCATCACCACAAGATTTAAAGTTTTAACTCGGTCTCCTATCACTTCTGATAGCAGGCACCTTCTGAGAGCAGGCAGCTTCCTGGAAAGATTTTCAAAATCTATTATCAATGTAATAATCATGAAAATATTTGATGAGAACACTGCCTCACGCTGCATAATAAATTTGAGTAGAAAAGTTGAAGCAGTGGTATTTTCATCAGTGCTTGGATGTCAGGAGAAAGTAGTTCCATACTCAGCGAATATAGATAGGTCTGTTTTGTGCCGTGTTAAATCCAATTGTGAGGAAGCCCTGAATAATCAGGGGTGACAGCATAAGCGCTTTCTCTTCAAAGTGATTTTACAGAAAGCATTATTTCCTAAGAAAAATACACATATGGCTCTCATAATGCTGAAAGAGCACTAATGTATCAATTTATTGGTTCCGATGTCATGAGCTAGAGTTGCAAATTATATTCAGATTTAAAACTTTCTTTTCCATTGCTGTTTGGTGAAGCACCCTTTCCTTGATAAAGGTTATCTCAGAGGATTCTAGAATGCCAAGGACAGAGACGGACATCCAATGGAGAGGACTATAGAGAGCCTTTCAAGGGTCCTATGGCTTGTTTCATGATGCCAAACCAAACAACAGGATGAAAAACAATCGTTTCCCTCAATAATAAAAAAAAAAATACATTTGAGTTTGGGTTGCACTATGTAATTTCAGATTCCCTAAATAAGTCCTTTGGAAAGTTATGTGGGGAGCAAGTGGGTGATTTTGGTCTCGGAGAATAACTTTGGAATTAATGTTTTTTTTCAGTGTCTTCTGTGGACTCTGAGAACAGATTTCTACCCCATATGACATGTTCCATAGCTAAATAATAGGCCTGATGTGGGAGCCAGCTTTTCCAAAGTGTTTTACTTTCAGGGTGGAGGGTTAAATAGTTCTCTTAATAACTTGGAAGCCAAAAAAAATTCATTTTACCACTGTTCTTAGTCACAGGTTCAATTTTTTTTATCACATACTATTCTAGTCCCTTTTTCTTTCCTCATTAGAATATCCCCTGAAGAAGGAACTATTTAAATTATAGCCCCATGACCTGAGGAAATGGCAAAAGTATGGTTTGCATTCAAACTTATGTTCATCTTATCTCTGTATTATCATGGAAGCATTTAAATATTATTATATAGATAAAAATAAGATTAAAAAGTCTTACTCCAGTGCCTCTTCAAAACGTTGGAATGATCCTAAGTTCTCAAAAACTATGACTATGAGGGATCAGGCTCTATGAGAACTGAAAGGTTTCCAGTGATAGACACTATCTGCTATCCAAGGAAAAGTTCAGTCAGGTACAGAGAGGCTCATCAGCTATAGGTTGGCCACTAGGGGACAAATTCTTTGGTCATCCCCATATCCAACACAATGTCTTTCTTTTTGACTCTTGCCTTCTTTCATTACCTCTGAAACATCATGAAGGCTATGGTCTAATGAATGCTTCTGCATTTTCATGTGAACAGAGGGAAATCACTTTCGCCCATTTTCCATAGAAGTGGTGTTGATTTACTTATGACCTTAGTGGGGTCAAGCATCTTTGTTTTCTGGGTCATTCTTCTGCTCCTTTCCTCAGAATAATAGTCATGAGACGTTACTTCCATTGAAAAGCAAAAGAAAGTATCACAGTGGGCTAAATGCTAAGTTGTCCAGACCACTCCTATCTCAGTAGGATGATATGCATTGGTAAATAAGTCAAGGAAAGTTTATAATGAGAGGGGCGGGGAAAGCAGCCTTCTATCTGCTCCACCATCAATCACTTACTTTCCTTTTCAACCAAAAAATAAATGTCTGATATGAATAGACACTTCTGTATATGAAAATTCAGTGGCATCTCTCTGAATCCTCATTGGTAGTTTTAAAAGAGAAGTTTTGTTGTTTTTTGTTTCCACCTTATGATCATTTATGGATACGTACCTGCACCTCTTGATGAGCCTTTCTTTATAATAAAGAGAAACAGTTAAGCAAAGAAGCCCAAACAATTTCTTTACCATATCTGACAATGTATGGAGCATTCTGCCCTCATGGTTCCCAGACTTCCCGTACAGAGGAGGTAGAGATGTTTTATCGTGATTTTTGGGAGGCTATTGTTGGTTTTTCACTTATGCAGAGTATGATTTCCTTTTAGTGCTCTTTTCATCTATTGAAAAAAAGGAAAATATGTATTAATTAACATCACAAAAAGACATGGAGGTAAAAGACGGCAGTATTAATTGTTCCTCTGAAATAATATTCTAATGACACAGTGTGTTTATGGAAGGGTTTCACCCAGATTGCAAAGTCAAAGAAAGATCAGTGTTGTTTGTGGTTTACAGGAACATCTTTGTCTAAAACAATATAACAAAAAGAGGTCACTTTCTCACACTTGGCATTATTTCTTCTCTTCCAGGTATTTCGGTAACAAAGAAGACACATACATGTAAGTAATATGTTTTTGTCCAAAGTGTTCTGAAGAGTTGGAATTATGTCTGGCTGATGGCACTCTTCAAGCATTAACTAACATTTCATCTGTGATGGTTCATATTTTTCGATCTGTAGAGGGTTACAAGTGGCAGAACTTCACAAGTCTGTATCTGAGTATGTGTTGAAGAGATAGGCCAATTCACGTTCCGGTATATTTCCGTGTCTTAGCCCATGACTGGTCAGGTAATTCTTGATGGGGAGGATCGATTACTTGGCGATCTACCTTATTCTGTGTCCTTCATAGAGATGGTTGGTATGTTTGCATGGGAAATCACTGTGATTTCTTGACCACTTCAGCCTCCTTTCCCTTTACTACTAGTCTCCAGATTAGACTGTTTTAACCTTGTGTCTGTGGGGCTCGGAATATAGGAGAGGCAGTATGGCTGCAAACCTACCTCAACAAGGTCCTGGTAAATGGCATTACTCGTTTGATATGGAGATGTGTGCTGGCTGGCTACATACACTATGTTTGATTCCTGCTTTCCAAGGTCAAAGTTCTTCATAAAGAAGTCTCATCCTTATTACAACAGAAGTTTAAAAATTTGTGCTAATATACGACGTGGTGGTTGGCAGTCTGAGGTGTGTTGTCGTAATGTCCACCAAAGAGCAAAAGGAAGTTAATATGTCATTAAAATCAGCTAGTCAAACTGTTACGTTGGACTTGACCGGTGTATCATTTAGACCTCAAATGACCAGTGTCACTAGAATGTAATGATTGTTTTAGGCCAGAAATATAGACTGTGGTACACCTGAGATTTCTTTGGACATCTTTTTTTTTTAACTAGGACAATTGTAGATTTCTCCATAGTGCTTTGCTAAAGCAAAGAGGTAAAGAGTCTTCCCAATTTCATTTTTAAAACTCCTAATGTTGTGTGGAGCTTTACAAAGAAAGTTGTGGTGTTGAGTTGTTTTTTTTAATCATTGTAACACCTAAGCAGCTTTAGCTCCTGTCTCAGTTTTGTTGAAAGCTTATTTGAAAATCTGCTCATGGGTTTGTCTGTCTGTCTGTCTTTATCTGTAGGGGGAAAAAACCTTAGATCTGAAGTTGCCTTCTATTTGAAATTTGAACCAGCAAAACAGAGTACGGATGGACATCAGGATCTTTACTGCTTAGAGAGCAATCCTGCCGTCCTTTTCTGCACCACTCCACATGGGCTTCAGTGGAAGTTTTGCTTGAGAAAAAAAAATTATTCAATAAGGCCACATTCAAATAATGGGTTGATTCTATCCCTCAATATATACATAGGTCCTGTTGGCTAGTCCTGTATCAGCATAGGGCCTTAGTTTCTTGGGGGGCTGTTTTGTGGTTGTTGCTGTTGTTGGTGCCTATTTGAGCTCATAATGACTGAGAGATTGACAGTGCAGGAGACTGAAGTCCTCTGTATATCCGCAGGGCAGGCATGGTACAGAGAGCTTCCTTGCACAGCCTTGCCCATGAGCTCGTCCCTGGCCTGGAGGGACTACCCACTCTAGAGGTGGTAAGTAATTCAGTCTTTATGCTGGCTCAGTCCTGGGCCTCTCCTGAACAGAGGCTGGTGATTGTGCTGACTTTCATAGCATTTTGGGGCCTGGACTCCTGTCCACCTTGCCATAAGCTGAAATCACCAGACTTTTTGTCTGGTTGTACCATGTCTTGGTTTTTCTTTTGTCAATAAAGATTTAATCCAATCCCACTGGACATAAAGCACCCTTCAGCTTATAACAACTTTTTTTAAGCTAAAAATTACAGTTCTAAAGATGTTAGGCAATAATCTATTCTGTCCATTGGAGATGGACAATATAGTATTATAATTATCAAGAATGATTTTATCCAGCTGCTACCTTTTGCTTATTTCAGGGGAAAAAAGGCTATGTTGTTGGTTCTAACATTAAAACATGACAGGGATGGCAAGTGATGCAAAATGTAGTGTCCTAGCAACAGGAAATGTCATTTGTTTTACCTTTGTTGTAAAGACCTTAACAACTTCAGTCAGGACAAAACAAAAAGAGAAGGAAAGGTGGGCACAGCAAGGCACATGGCCAGCATCTATGAATTACATATAACCATGGCTGGCTACATACACATATGTTTGATTCCTGCTTTCCAAGGTCAAAGTTCTTCATAAAGAACTCTTGTCCTTATTACGACAGAAGTTTAAACCATGAAAAACAGCACTGAAGTCCTCAGGTAGAAACATGATATGACTTTGACAGGTTTACAGAGAAGTACTTTTCTATAAAATTCAAGCAAGGAAAAAATATGGAAAATGCCATTTATATTTAGGGACCACTTTTTTTCTCTCTTTTTCTTGGGGGAATGAGGTGGTCTTCAGAATTAAGTATCCATTCCAACCACCCAGGAATGAGCTGATCTGGACAGATAGTTGATACAACATCTCATACATATCAAGCAGAAATCAAGTTTTCAAAGTTGTGAATATCTGCAAAAGCTGCTTCTGTGCTATTGACCATAGAGATTGTATTTGTCATCCTGGCCAGTAGACAACCCATTCTATTTCTGATCTTCACATCTCTGTAGGGCTCAGACTTTCTGAGGAGGAAAAAATGAATCAGTTCTTTCTCTAATAAACATCCCCCAGAGGAAGTCTTCTTTAGCATCACTTGATATTTCCTTGAGACCTGAACTGCTCCAACTTGTCTATAAGTTTTCTTAAGATGTTAAATTTCAGGTTCTCTTAAATTATTCTGACATCTCTTCTTCAGAAAGTTTCCCTATTGGTGAAGGAAGGTGAATACATTTTGTCCTGTCTCAAGGCTTCCATTTTTAGCCAAGGTTCTGGAAAACATGGACAAACCTTGCCTGCCTAATAATCAACAACTGAAGTCACCTTACATTACCCATTTCAAACTGGGTTTCCTAACCTCCATTGCACAGAGACTGTATAACTTACAAATTAAAATGTACAGTTGTAGAATATATTATCAGACCAAAGTGTTAGCTCACAAGGATACCAGCCAGAGGTGCAAGAATTGCAAAGTGATTCTGAATGGTTTTGACACCTGATAATATTTTAGGACACCTTGTTATCCCAGAAGCATGGGTATTACTTTTAAATGAAATTTTGAGTTGGTTGAGGTAAGCCTAAAAACTCTTGTGTAAGAAAACTCGGTTCTTTTAGCTTCTAATCAGTCTATGAATACAATATGAACTCTGAAAGGTGGATACCTGAGAAGTGGGTTGTTAGGTTTGGATATGTTTTCTTTCTTTTTTTGGAGTGGGGGGGAGTGTTTCTTATTGTTGGTCTTATATATTTTCTTTCTTCCTTTCTTCTTTCCTTTTTTTTCTTTCTTTTTTAATTTTGACTGTCCAGTTGTGAAAACAAAGGTCTTTAAATCTCCTAGGAGTGGAAAGTCGTTAATTACATTGTGAAATTCTAAAATCTGTGATGTTGGTTGAAGTGTTACTATTAGTTTTGGTGAGTGAACATGAAAGGGAGTTTTGACTTGTGGTGTGAAGACAATTCTTGCACTATGATGTTGGAGCTTAAATATCATCCTCAAGGTGATATATCTTTTTGCATGTGAGATTTGGTGGGCATTGTCATATTTGTTTTGGTGTTTGGAGTATTTGTTCTTCCTTTTCTGTTGGAGTAATATTGTGTAGCTATGTCTTTTTCTTGGAAACAGCTGTTGTCTGGATTTTCACTGTGTGCCAATGACAACTGGCCATGTATTCCTGACTTAGTAATCAATGTCCTCATGTGTTCTTCTGAATTTGCTAAGATATTATGAGATAACAAGTGTCTAGATGAAAAATGTCATTGATTAGTCTAGATGTTCCCAAATAGCTGGATATTTTACATCATGGAAACTAAACCTTAGGATTTATTCAAGGTCGAATAACTTCCACAAAACATATGGGATGAATTCCCATGATGTTAGAGGCCCCTGGACAATTTCCAGGTCCAACAAATCTTTGCTGCTTCCTCCTTTTCTCCCTCCTTTGCATCCTATGCCTGCTCCCTTGCTCCTAAAAGATGCGAAGAGAACGTTACTTTTCAAACTACCAGGAAAATATACAGTTGCTTCCCCTTCCCCTGGGGGACAGGTAACTCAACCTTGATGAAGCTGCTTTTTTTTTTCCATAAAAAACAGACTTGAATACGCTTCTGAAAATATTTTAGAAATACCTGTTTTTCCATAAAAAGAATTTTTAAAAGCATATTTGCCAAATATTCATGTTGACATGCTTTATTGGGTACAAATTTTAAACAATATATATATGTGTGTGTATGTGTGTGTGTGTGTGTGTGTATATATATATATACATATATATATATATGTATATATATACATATATATATGTATATATATACACATAATGTTTTAGTAAGGACATATAACTATGTATCTTTAAAAGCAGGTACATACTTAAAAGATTATATTAAATAACCATATCATTTATAAAGATATTTTAATTCTCTTTATAATAAAAACCTTTTAGCACAATTTAAGACATTTCTTCGAGAGGTTAAAATAAATAATCTTATTTTTTTAACATCTGTGAAAAATTGGTTATTTCAGTAGGTTAAAATGAAATAGGTTAATGTATTCACCTTTTACCTCTGGAGACTTAGTTTTAAGTTTTGACTTAGGGAAAATTAGTTTGGAGGCCTTAGTGTGGTGAGTTCCTAAGGTATTTGTTGATATCATGAAGCTGTTGCCACAATTTGTTAAAATTTTTGCCATTTGATCAAGGGAGGTTCCTAACTGGGATTAAAAAAAATTATTTTCTGTTTTCTTTTCTTCAAGCCATTAAAAAAAAAAAGTGTAGACTCTGTTAGCAATCACAGGCTTACTGCACATCTACATTATTTTCCTCAGCCAGGAAAACTCAAGAACCCTTTTTGGCAGAGCCAGTGGGAGGTACTTGGTTATGGCCTTACGAGATTGCCATGACAACAGGTCTGACTCTCCCAATGACTCACACGTTTAATTTCTTGCTTCCGGGTATTT